TCACGTATGGGTTGAGCACTTGGCCAACAAAATCAGGCGGTTAAAATTCTAACTCCCCTGTTAGACCCGGTTAGATCGGTACTAGCCACTGGTTTCGGTCGGTTTTGGTAGTCGGTTGAGTATTTTAAAAGAAATTATATAAAATCTCAAAAAATAAGGGAGTTTGTTTGTAATGTAATTTATCATTTTAGCAAAGATTGGAAATTACTTTGACCATTAATACTTATTTTTACATTTTTCTATTTTTTTGAAAATATCAAAAATGTTCCTAGACACAAATAGATTCCTTAAAATCTATTTTTTATTTATTTTTGGATGTGCATTGTTTAATCATACTTTAAATATATTGTTCATATTTTATTAAGTGTTTTGTATTTTGTATTTTTTAAATATTTTTTTAATCACCTGGGACTTGCCCAAATATGCCGATTGAACCGCTTCTGACCCATATCCAATTAACCGTTCCGATTCGATTTTTCTTATACCACCACTAGATATAATATAAATTTGCTCAAGCAAAAGCCAAGTATCGCGCTTTCTGCCAAAAAGAGGCTAAACATGCAACTAAACCGATCCCACAAGGCACTACAAAACAAGTATAAAAATAGAAACAAGAACAAACTGAGAGATCTCGTCTCACCTTGGTCGAAGAAACCGATACTTCTTAACAGGAGGAGGAGGATGAGGAGAAATGCAGTGCAAGCTTCCAGCCTTGGAGCCTCCTCTGCAAATATATGTACTCCATGGCAGCGGGACAAAAGCCATGGCCTGCCTACCCAATAAACTACGAGCTAAAAAGTAAAGCGACTTAAATATTATAAAATAGGACCCTAAGAGCTGTTTGCAAGTATTATATAATATGACTCTTCAGGCACGCTTTATACATTCGACAATAGCACAGTAGACGATGAAGCAAATTCAAGGATTGAGTGAGCTCAATAAAAAAATAAAAAAATTATTGACTTGACCACAGGGATTGCGTAATGATATAGAGAATGCATTGAAATTGGGCCTGAATTATAACTGTCCACACAAATGTATGTCTTCTTCTTTGGCACGTGGGTTGAACCCTCCGCTCACCTCTCAAAAAGTGTTAACAAAATAAAAAGTACAAAACAATCAAAAAATATATTTAAAGTATGATTAAAAACAGCACAAGTTAAAAAGTACTTCAAAAAAATAAAGATGTGTGACCGTGATGTTTTTGATTTTTTCAAAACATTAGAAAATATATAAAAAAATAAGTATTCATGGTCCAAACACTTTTTAATCTTTGATAATACGATAAATAGCATTAAATAACATATTACAAACAAATCATTTTATTTTTTAGTATTTTATATTTATTTCTTTTTTTTTTTTAATACCCGTAGACGACCAAAACCGACCAAAACCAATTCGGCCAGTACCCGATTTTGGTTTGACCAGCCGGTTCCAAATTGGACTGGCCAGGTTTGCGAATGTGAAAAGAAGTGTGTATCAGGTTAATTTAGAATGTGTACATTGTAATAAAAAATATATGGGAAGGTTAGACACAATATCTTGTATTACAAGGTAAGTCTAGGTATAATATAGGTATGTATGATTTATTTATATTATTGTCATCTACATTTGTCTATATAAGACAAGCTTATATATTCATATTGATTAATAGACACTGAGTCTTTTCAGAAAAACCCGATACTCTTCACATGATATCAAAGCTAGATTCATCTTCGTTGAGTCCATTATTCGTCCCTAAAGCATTGTCACCGATTTTCAATATGAGTTTGTTGTATCAGAGCCAGATTCATCTTCGCTTTGTCTATTCTTCGTCCCTGATGTGTTGTCGCCGATTCTCAAGACGAATTTGTTGCTCACCTAGTTAGTGTCCCTGAAACGTTGTCGCCGATTTTCAAAACGACTTTATTGTTCACCCAATTGGTGCCCTTCTGTCGAGTCATGTTTCAACTTTATGCAAATTCTTTCAGGTTTTTCTTCAATCTCTTCCATCGAATCTAAAGGACATTGTTCTCATTCTCGTTCTCCTCTCTCAATTAATAGTAAGTTTCCCTTTCTTTGTAGGTCTTTGGATTTCTAGGGTTACGGTTTCGAGTTTCTCTGGATTTCGTCTTGATCATTAGATCTATGCGTGATTCGTGTTTGATATGCAAATGCTGATCATACCCCCGACGAATTGATTGGTCTATTCCTCACTCACTATCTCTTTGCATCTTTTTCTTACTTTCCTTTATCTCTCGGGCTTTCTTTTTACATCGTCTCAACGGTATATTTTGTTTGTACCTTTTGCATATTTGTTTTCACTCACTAAGAGTAAAGTAAGGTTTGCATTGAAAAAGAGTTGGTGGCCCATATTGGTTTTTGATGGTCCACTTTGGTCATTTGGTGTTGCCACTGTTGGTGATTAATATTATTTCTTGCTCAACACAATGAAAAAAATATATGAATCTTTTAGGCTTGTGTTAGTAAATTACAAAAATTGTATGGACCACTTTTGTAAATTGTGCCGACCAATTGTTTTTAAAAAAAATAAAAATTGAAAAATACCTTGAAAACTGTTAGATCTAAAATATTTACCTTTCTGTCCTCTGAAAACTGGCGTTTGAAAATGGCCTCTAGAAAATTGCAATATCTAACATCATTGCCTTCCCTCATAAATCAAATGGCTTTGAGTAACGGCCTCTGAAAAATCCCTCTAAAATCTGATCTAAAACTCACCACATAATTCACTTCTGAAAAATAGTCTCTGAAAACGGCTGATCAGCCTTATCTAAAAATCCTATGTATGTTTTTGCCTCTGGATCTTGATCTCATGGTCCAAATTTGTCTGAAATCTCACCCCGCCACTCATCTAATATTGTCATTGATCATCTGAAACCCTTTTAAAAAACTGACCCCTCCCCCCCAACAAAAAAAAAAAAAATCTGATAACCCAACTTTTCTCTATTTGGTTTTTCCTCCTAGTTCTTGCTCATGTTACTCTATTCTATTTCATGAAGATCCAACTGTTTGTTTCTGCAATTAATATTCTAACTCCAACTGCTCTCTCGTAGCATCATGAGTTTGAGGGGGAGTGTGAAAAAAAAGTATATATTGTCTACCAGGTACTAGGTTAATATAGAAGCTGCATATTGTAATATGTCTATTTGGGATTTATTCCTATTGTTGTCATCTGTAATTTGTCTATAAAAGATAAGTTTATATATTCATATGTTTAATGGGCACTGAGTCTCTTTAGAAAAGCATGAGACTGTTTGCAGCGAACAATGCTATCTCACTGTCTAGACGACTACGTTAGAATTGAAATACTTTTAGTTGTGTCCAACAACATTGCTCTCCCATGTTTTGTGTCATCATCGAAGATAACATAGATTCAAAATTCGTGAAAATTTTTCATAAATTTTACATTAGCTGCCTAGCTAACACAACTCACCTCATTTGGCTTGTAACATGTTAAGAGAAAGTTTAAGTGAGGAGAATATATAAATAGGTCAGCCCAACATTCTCTCATGTCTCTCGCATCAAACACATAAAAGAGAGAGAGGGGGATGCTAGGCAGTTGCAAAAGAAGGGCACAAAAGACTAAAGCAGGTATTCATTTATTAAGAATGTTGATGAGGCAATCATATGGATGTTCTCAAGAAATTAGTAATCATTAACAAACTTTCGTCTCCAATTTTATTTTTATGGTTTTTGAGTCTCTCTCTCATTGTTGTGAAGCACAATTAGAACAAGGGTGCAGTTAGCATACGGATGCATCCGTAAAGGTAGAGGTAAGGTGTACCTTCAACTTTTATCATGGTATATAATTTTGATATAAAATGTTTTTAAGATTATCTTAAAATCTATTTTTTATATCTAATTATAAAATTTTAAATTTTTAAAAATGGTTAAAATCAACTAGATATATAATTATATGAAAATCTTGAAAATAGATGGTCTTGAAAATGAACGGTGTAGATAATATGTTGTAAAACATATTATTTTTGAAACCTAAAGGTTTTTTATTTTTCATGGCCATATATATCTTGATATTGAGATTATCAATCAAAAAGTTTTTTATCATTAAAACTGCCTTTTTTTCGATGTATTTTTTAAGAGCATTTACATTATAAAGATGCATCCTTATATAAACTTTTTCTTTAAGATAATTATTACCGGGTCTTGGGAGGCGTCGTGGTGGTGTAAATAATCACACATAACTAAAAGAGTAATAGTGGGGAACACACCCATTATTTAATCTAAATTTCGGCCTTGTCCAAATTGAGAGTGAGATGCTGCTGGTGCGATACCACAGCAACGACCATTTTTTCTGGTTTTTTTGAATAAATAAAACTTATGGGGTACCATTTTCCCTTCTTTTTTTCAATATTAGCTGGGATTTTCTCTACGGACTCCAATACTGTTTATTCGTACACCTTTGTCACCGTCAATGTTTCATAAAATAGTAAACTTTGGTTTTTTTTTTTTTATATATATCATCGTCATCGTCGTTGTTTCCCAAAACAGTAAAATTCGGGGAGAAACTATCATTTTTTTACAGTAGAGGTTTTTTAATGGGTGTGTAACCTCTCTCTTTAGAACCCCATAGAAACCTTCGATCACAAACCCCACCAAAACAACTGCAAACACTTATCTCTCTCATCGTGTGCCGTTCCTCTCTCTCATGCCAGCACCTCTGGCAATCACTCTTCTCGGTTGTTTTAGGTCAAATCTCACTCACTCTCTCTCTCTATTCGTAGGGTCTTTTTCCTGCTCCAGCATTCTCTCTTCCTCATCTCGCACGCCCCACCCTCCTCCTCTCTGTCTTTCTCATCCCAAATGCCAAAACCTCCTCCTCAATCCATTGTTCTGTCTTTTCTTTTCCCTAATCCTCTCCTCATTTGCAGGCATGAAAACGTAATCTTCCATCGTTCTTCCCTGAAATTTTATAGGGTTTTCACTATAAAGGCCATGAATTCTATCAAACCAAAGAAGAGGGAGAGAAACCCATCAAAATTTTAAAAAAAAGACACTAATTCAATACATGGTTTTGAGTAGAGAGCTCAATAATTCGTAGCCTCCAGTGTAGTTACTCCGGGTTGCCATCCCTCTGTTTCAGTCATTTGGTGTCCAGAGATGAACCATTTACTAGTCCATATTGTGGCCCTATTAACTTTCGAAGTTGCATGGATAAAGAGAGAGACTCGTTGCAGAGGAAGAGGGGAGAGGGCGGGCGAAGAAGAAATGGCGTTGATATTTTTGTTTTCCGGGTTTTGATTTTCTATCGGTTTGAAATCGGTTTGAGGTTTGAAAAATCGAATGTGGAACAAATTAAAAAAAATATATTAAAAAATTTAAAGATCTAACTTTTTAAATAATAACAGCTTATTTTTGGATCATTTTATTATAATGGTATAAAAACTGGTCATTACATAAATTTCCCCTAATTACCCACAAAAAAAACGATGACTTGCTGTTTTAAGAGGAAATATACACCAATAGTATATGGGTGCGGTTTCCAAAGGGTTACAACTTTAAACAATCCAATTAAGGCGCACATCCAAATTTTATCATAACATATAATTTTGGTGTAAATTTGTTTTAGAATTAATTGAAAATCAGTTTTTATATCTAATTATAAAAGTTTAAATTTTAAAGTGGTTAAAATCAAGTAGATTTATAAACATTTGAAAATCTAAAAATCGTTTTTCTGTGTTGCAATATGCACTATTTATGAAACTCAAAATCATTTTTTTTGTTTTATATTCATACGTCTCTATGTCAAGATGATCAATTAAAAGGTTTTTCAATATTAAAACAACTTTTTTTTGGTAGATTTTTGAGGTGCATGTGTAGTTCTACATTTTAAGGTTGCAGCCTCATACAAACTTTTTTCATGTAATAATAGACAATCCGCGGA